TAAGAAAATTAGATATAACACAATTGAATAATATACTTATGGAAAAATATTGAATCATTTATGTTGACCGATTTCTGAAAAATACCTTAATAAAATAAGTATATACGAAAAGTACGAAAAAAACATAATTATGTATGTAGATTGATATGTATAGATTGTTTACTATAGATGGGCATAATTAGAATAAATGGTACTTTATCCATAAAGGTAAAATATATAGATGATTGCTTAATATGAGCATTAATGATTTATTACCTTTATAATTTCCTATGATTGACTATGATTGAGTATCACAATATATATATATATATATATATATATATATATATATATATATATATATATATATATATATATATATATATATATATATATATATATATATATATATATATATATATATATATATATATATATATATATATATATATATATATATATATATATATATATATATATATATATATATATATATATATATATATATATATATATATATATATATATATATATATATATATATATATATATATATATATATATATATATATATATATATATATATATATTTATTTATTTATTTTTATATATATTTATAAAACAATATGAATATAAATTCTTAAAAGATTTTGTATATTATTATAAAAGAGATACTAAATTCGATAATATATATGTATAAAATAAAATAAAAAATCGATTATTCATACTAAATATCGAAAAATATATTTCAGAAAATAAAAACTATAAAAAAATAATATTTTTCAATTTTATAGGATATTAAATGCATGAAATATTATATATATATATATATATATATATATATATATATATATATATATATATATATATGGGGTAATTATTAAATAAGTGTATAAATGTTAAATACGAAATAACTTAAATACATGGGGTTGTCTAGGGTCCGAGAGGTTTTGTACTTCTCGGACCATAACGATTGAATCTGGGCCGTACAAATAGTAAATTTTTGATCTCATCCATTGATTTTTTGTACGACCTAGTACGACACCAGTGATTTAAAAATTAAAGTACGAATCCAGTAAAAACACATCGTACTCTATCGTACACACATCGTACTTTGTATAAATGACTTAATTAACCTTATAAACTCAAATCAATAAATTAAAATATTTATTAATCAACAAATTAAAATATTAATTAAAAATGTTTTAATAGTCATAATGAATTAACAAAATCTCATAGTATCTCAAGACCTCACACTCAAAATCTGTCATAACCTCACGAATGTTCTTCACCAAACAAAAATCTCAGAATCTCTAGTTTTCTCGTTCTGCTTCATTGTCTCGCCTAGGGGTGTAAACGAGCCGAGCCGACTCGTGAGCTCGAAAAGCCGGCTCGTAAAAAGCTCGAACTCGGACTCGATATTTTCGAGCTCGAGCTCGAGCTTTCTGACGAGTCGAGCCCGAGCCGATTTTCAGTTGTTCATGAGCTCGTGAGCCGGCTCGCGAGCCGGATTTATTATTATTTTTTTATTTTTATTTTTATTTTTTATATGTTTTTTTTATTTACATAATGTATAATAATGTAAAATATTATAGAAATAAATACAAATATTAAAAATATATATAATTATAATTTAGTTTTTATTTTTTATTTTTTTAAATAATTTTTAATAATAAAATAATAATTAAAAAAATATTTAAAAAAAAAAAAAAAAAAGACAATGGGGCTCGAGCTCGAGCTCGACAAAATTGACACGAGCTCGAGCTCGAGCCAAAAAAAGAGGAGCTCGACGAGCTCGAGCTCGAGCTCTAGCGAGCCAAAAGAGGCGAGCTCGGCTCGTTTACACCCCTAGTCTCGCCGGGGAGAGGGGTTGGGGCTAAACCGCTAATTTAATTTGGGAATGTGAGTATTCCGGACAGAGATGCCTGCCCCAAAAATTGCTATATTCCGTTGATGTTTAGTACTTTTTTTTTTAAATAAGAATTAATGATTAGTACTTTGATTGATGGAATATTTGTTCATGTATTTTTTTTTTTTTCAGTATTATTAGTGATCGATTTTTTCGTTCTTTCATTTTTTTTAGTTGTTTATTGATCGTCGCTAGAATTGAGAATTTCAACAGTTATTTTGTTGTTCATTTTTTTACTTTTATGTTTCTTATTGCTAGAATTGAGAATTTTGCTAGATGTTCGATACATATTTGTCTCCTTAGACAACTCGCAAACTGTTGTATCTTTCCAATCTTGGGTAATATGACACTGTGACACGGGACAAGCTGTGTATTTGCTTATATGTGTAACCTGCCCCCAAATTGAGAATTGCAGGCAAAACAAGAGAAATTATACGGGGCAAAAACGGAAAGAGATTGCTAGTGGTGGCAAGAATCGAGGATCAAGCAGGTCAAACTTGAATTCTCTGTTAAGGTGGAGAAGTGAGGCCTTGACATTTTGTTGGTGTGATTCCTTTGATAAAGGACACATTCGAGAGTGAGACTGTAGAGAAGTGTGGTTGCAGTACAAACATTGAAGAAGATGTCTACACATTTTTCATATTTTTAATTCTCTGTATATTTTCTTTAGATAGATCAAGCGTTGGTTGACTTGTACAGCTTTTGTGACTATAATAAGTTTTCTTGACGGAGATAGAATTTGTATGCTTGAAATACAGAAATTTGATGAAGTTGGTAAAATAGAGCTGTACAGTTTATCATTCTTCCCTGTTGTGTTAAGAGTTCTAGAATGAAGTATTCCTCTTGAAATTTGTCCCTGTTTCAAAATCCGAAAGATATTTCTGGAGTTGCAAGATTGAAAACGCACACATCGGCTACCAGTTATACGCTAAACACTAGTGATACGCATGCCGTAAAAGAGCAAATATACTCCAGCTTGGTAGAGTTGTTCCAAAGTCACTAGAAAAAGATTATATGCTTTTTATTTTGAGAATTGATGCAACAAATAACTAGGGCGTTCGATTTTTTACAATCGTCCTTTGGCATGTGTCGGAATCGTCCTTTCGAAATTGGATTTTTACAATCGTCCTTGGCATGTGTCGGAATCGTCCTTTCGAAATTGTAAAAGACATGCAGTTATATATATATATATATATATAAAAGATTTCATCATTAAATCACTATGCCAATAATTTACTTTTTTCAACCAAAAGGAAATGGGCTCGAGGCCATTACCAATCTACATATATTGAAATGAAAAAGAAAAAAAAAAAAGAAGAGAAAATGACATTGCAGATCTGGATTTGGACAGCCATCGAGGACATACGATAAACCATTGGTTGCCATTGACCATTACACAATACATATCTGTTGTTTGTATCCCCTTAGTGGCAATGAGTATGTTAACAAACTATCTAGGTCCATATCCCACTTGAAAATTAATCAACACACTTATGTGTCTGCATTTAGTTCCATCAAAAACATTATGTTGCAAGAAATATGGAGGAACTCCCAAAAGTTAGCTGCATAGAAAATTCAAAATCTGAACAGCGTCGGCAGAATGTGGTATGTGCAGGTGCAGCGACTTCGGCCTAAACTTTGACCTCGATCCAGTCTGAATTTCCTAAATATCCAAGCATACAAGTTGTAGAGCCTTCTTCTGGCTTTCTGTATCATATTTATACTTCGCATTTGGAGTTGAGACGAAAGAGTTATGCCTGTCTTACGAAGAGGTATCTAAACTATTCCAAAAATTGCCGAAATAACTTCATTTTGAATTTGACAATAATGAGGACACTTACAGACTATGAAAATAAAATACTTCAATTCAAAGAAACAAAGCTAATTGAACAAGAAGATCACACCCCTGATGTTCCTCTGTCCAACTAATATGCTATTTCACTCAGGACTTTCATCACAGAACACCACAACACACACACACACACACACACACACACACACACACACACACACACACACACACACGCACCATCTTAATCGCAACCGCAAATAATTTTATAAATTTCATCGTTGCGTAAGTATAGATGAAGGAGATCACATTAAAAAATAGAACGAGAAAAGTTCAAAGCAATGCAATCAAAATAAACAGGCGACAAAAGGAAAACTTTAACCCGACTTTGATCAATTCACAAACCAATGGATTTCTGGAAAGCTACGAGTTCAAAAATTAGATCTTACACAAAATCAAAGCAAAAATGTTCACGCATACGAACATAATTAAATGAGATATTTGCAGAATTCAAAAGGAAGATTCGAGAAAAAAATAACTCTATGAGATATAATTCACAGCATAAACTCACAATTACCCAAAGAAGAGGATGCTCAATCGTCAGCCGGAAGAACAAATGAGAGAGGGAGATGAATGCAGGAATGAACGAAACATAAAGTTAATCAATAATTAGGTTACTAATTTTATGATAACTATTGCTCTGTAATTAAACTTAGATATTAATGTTAATTTATAATTAAATTTTATCTTTAAGGGTTTTTGTGTAATTTTACTCATAAGGTAGGTATCGTACAATTTTTTCATGGGTTCGTACTAATCTGACATGGCACAATTTTATTGGAAGATTATGGTTCGAGAAGTACAACCCTCTCGGACCCTAGACAACCCCTACATACCAAAACAAAATTGACAACTCACGAATTGAAGAATCCACCTCATCAATTGAACTCCAGCTAAGCAATTTTGATAAATGACATCATCATTTACCACATGTCAATCATTGAGGGCATAGATCTTCTTTTGATATATTATATATCTTATATATAAAAGAAAGAAACGCTAGGCAACCCTAAGAAACCCTAATGTCATATTTGTAATATTTCAATTTTTATCAAATTTTTATCTCCTTAATATTATTTTAAATATTATTTTCGAATTTTATCATATTTGTATCCCCTAAATATTATTTTAAATATTACTTTTTATTTTTCATCAGATTTTTGTCTCCTAAATATTATTTTTTATTTTTATCAAATTTTTATCTCCTAAATATTATTATAAATCATATTTTTTTTTTGGGATAATTACTCATTTAGTATAATAAAGGTGGATCTATTGCCTTTTATATTATTAGTGGAAACCCCCTTAATTATTTAATTAAATAGATATTTATAAAATTATTATCCAATATACCTAATTTGCCTTTAAATCTCTTATTACTTTAGATCTGTGATCCCTAAATTCTGAAATTATATTTCACGCTATTTCTCTTCTTCCTCCCTTTTCTCTCCACAGACTGCCGTCATTTCCCCTCTACCTCAGTCCCGCCGCCGCCATCTCCTCCCCTCGACTTCCGCCGGTCGCCGCTCTCCACTATTGTCTCCGCTTGCAGCCGCAAAGTCGTTGAGAGCCTAGGGTTTCGGAAAGAATTTAATTTTAATTCGGTAAGAAAACTTTGTTCTTCTTCCATGGTAGAAATTAGGGGCTCAAAATATTCCAATTTTCATTTTCTGTAATTTCGTTGTTGAATGAATCATTCAGGAAATAAAAAGTTTGGTTTTTTATTTCCCACATACGGCGGAAGAGAGTCCCATAGTGCTGTTGTTTCCCGTGGCGGTCGGATATGGGTTCTTGGCCTCTAAAGAATAAATTGAGAAAGTTATATTGTATTCTTGGCACTTTAATTATTATTATGCGTTAAAATGACAAGTTTTATTGATTTTTTTAGATTTATTATATTTTAGAGTGAATAGTTATAAGAGATTTGAATTGTTGTAATTAGAGAGAATGGGATAATGTTACAGTTAATTTTCAACAATTTTTAGTTGATTTCGATTTTTTATCGTTGATTTTTGTAGTTGATTTTCTTTTTAGTAAAATGCTATTAAAAACAGCTATTTTGTGGTTCTTGATTCGGGAAATAAACGAACAAAACAACTAAATAAGTAATCGTTTTCAGTAATTTGTACTTGATTTTGGAAATAGTTGATTTTGACAATTTTTTAGTTGATTCTCAATTTTTTATTGTTGATTTTTCATTTTTGTTAATTTTGTAGTTGATTTATGTTTTAGTGAACCTACTATTAAAAATAAATATTTTGTGGTTGCTGATACGGAAAATAAACGAACAAAAAAAAATAGTTGTTTTAAGTAATTTACAGTTGATTATGGAAATAATTGATTTTGGAAATAGTTGATTTTGAAATTTTCGAAAATTTTATAACCTATTTGAAAACCTAAAATTGAAAAAATAATTAAAAATGAAAAAACAAATTAAAAAATTTATTTAAATAAATAAATAAACATATATTATAATTAAAAGAAAATAAAATGAAATATGCATTAAAGTAGTGGAGGATCGTAAAGAAGGGTAAATTTGGGAATACAAAATAGTTGGGCCTATCACTAATAAAGAAAAAGGGACTGGATCCACATTTATTAAAAAAATGATAGGGGGTTTCTCACTAATAGTCCTTTTTTTTTTTTTTTTAATTTTATCAAATTTATATCTCCTAACAATAATTTTAAATATAATTTTCAACTTTTAGCAGATTTTTGACTCCTAAATATTATTTTCGAATTTTATCAAATATATATCTCCTAAATAATATTTTAAATATTTTTTTCGAATTTTATCATGTTTTTATTAGTTTTTTTATCTCCTAAATATTTTTTTCGTTTTTTATCAGATTATTGTCTCCTAAATATTATTTTCGATTTTTATCAAATTTTTACCTCCTTAATATTATTTAAATAATAATTTTCAGTTACAGATGAATATTGAAGATCGAACTACAAAATTCGATGAGTCTAATATATTTTATGAGACACCTAACTTAATCAAACTATTAATTGGAAAGGATCTTATATGCGCTAAAGATTATATATGTAGAAACATACTAAACATCTTTATAATACAATTCATCAGTTTGGTCAATATACGCTTGAAGCAATCAAGAAAACCTACATGGTTCAATATGATACCGAGGAGTGGTATGAATGAGGAATTGGAGTTATTACGAAATGATTTTAATCATATTTTATCTCCTAAATATTATTCTAATTATTATTTTCATATTTTATCAATTTTTATCTCATTAACATTATTTGAAATATTATTTTCGATTTCTTATCAATTTTTATCTCCTAACTATTATTTTAAATTTTATTTTCGATTTTTATCAGATTTTTATCTCCTAAATATTATTTTTTTATTTTTTTATCAAATTTTTATCTCCTAAATATTATTTTAAATATTATTATCGATTTTCATCAAATTCTCCTAGATCTTATTTATAACAATCTGATTTTCGATTTTTACAGAAAAGGGTAAATAAATCTGATTTTCATCCCTAGCGGATTTTGTGACATCGTTTTACAGAATGTCTGCAGCATTTGAATTTTATATCTTCCCTATCTAAGGCTTCTTCTTTTGGTAACCCGAGTTTAGATTTTGTTTCTTATCTTCTTCTTCATCCTATTGACTGTGTGGCAATTAGTTTACATCTTTTTCCATCATGGCTTATAGGTAATTTCATTTTGTTAAATTATGTGTTTCATTACTTTATACCAAAGTTTTCAAATTTTATGTATAACAATTATTTCATTTTATATGTTATTGGATATGTTATTAAAAGGGATGATTTGAGAAAATTAACCAAAAATGGGCGGAGCCACAAGCTATTGGAAGTCGACCTTCAAGACTTTTTTTTTCAAAAACTTTTTTTTTCTCGCCGGATTCCGGCGTTGACCAGCGGTCAACGCCGGTCTCCGGCGTTGACTTTTCAACTTTTCTTTTTTTTTTTTCTTTCTTTCTTCCGGATTTTTTCGCAGGATTCTGGCGGTCAACGCGTTGAATTTTTTATATTTTTTTTTTCTTTTTTTTTTCTTTTTTTTCTTTTTTTTTTTGTAACTTTTTTTTCCATTTAAACAGCAATATTGCTGTGATTGACACTAATAATTATATTACTGTTAAACGCAGTAAAATTAACTAAACTATAGTTTAACACAATAATATTGCTATATTAATCTCTAGAACATTAATATTAACACAACAAAACTCATTATTATTGTGTAATAAAGTAATATTACTATGTTGACCGTTCAACAAATGTAAACATAATAAAAAAAAACCAAATGAAATAATATTACTGTGAGTGACAGTAATATTACTATAGCAACAGTAATATTACCGTCAACCACAGTAATATTAACTATATTACTGTTAAACACAGTAAAATTAACTAAACTATAGTTTAACACAGTAATATTGCTATATTAATCTCTAGCACATTAATATTAACACAACAAAACTCATTATTATTGTGTAATAAAGTAATATTACTATGTTGACCGTTCAACAAATGTAAACATAATAAAAAAACACCAAAAGAATTAATATTACTGTGAGTGACAGTAATATTACTATAGCAACAGTAATATTACCGTCAACCACAGTAATATTAACTATATTACTGTTAAACACAGTAAAATTAACTAAACTATAGTTTAACACAGTAATATTGCTATATTAATCTCTAGCACATTAATATTAACACAACAAAACTCATTATTATTGTGTAATAAAGTAATATTACTATGTTGACCGTTCAACAAATGTAAACATAATAAAAAAAAAAACCAAAAGAATTAATATTACTGTGAGTGACAGTAATATTACTATAGCAACAGTAATATTACCGTCAACCACAGTAATGTTACAATAATAGACAGTAATATTATTACGTTACTCCGTGAATAACTCAAACAAACAAAAAATCCAAACAAAATAATAATATTGATGTGGTTGACAGCAATATTACTATAACAACAGTAATATTACCGTCAACCACAATAATATTATTGTGTTTACAGTAATGTTACAATAATAGACAGTAATATTATTACGTTACTCCGTGAATAACTCAAACAGAACAAAAACCCCAAAAATATAATAATAATGATGTTGTTTACAGTAATATTATTGTGTTTACAGTTATTTTACTGTCAACGACAGTAATATAATTACGTTGACTTGTCAACAAATCAAACAAAATTAAAAAAAAAAACAATAAAAAATAAAAAATAATAATATTACATTAATTTACTATCAACGGCAACACAATTACATAAATGTAATGTCAACGGCAGTACAATTACGTCAATTTACTATCATTGACAGTATAATTACGTTAATTTCTTGTCAGTGACAGCACAATTACGGTCAACGTTTAGCGGCGGACGTGGAAAAACAAAAAAACCAAACAAAATCCGGAAGAAAAGAAAAAAAAAATCAACTCCGGAAACCGGCGAAAAAATCCGGAAGAAAAAAAAAAATAAATAAAAAGTCAACGCCGGAGACCGGCGGCAAAAAAAAAATTTGAAAAAAAAATGTTTGTGGAAAAAAAAAATTAGGTCAAAATTGAATAATTTGTGAAATTTGGGGTCAAATTGAGATTAAATTAAGTTAAAGGATGAATTGGAGCATATTAATATGCTCCTAAAAAGGTCAAAATTGAATTTTTGTGGTCAAAATTGGATTTTTTGGACAAAATTGATTAAATTGGGGTTATACTTAAGAATTGGGTATAAATGGTTTAGGGTAATATTGGGATATACATGAGTGTTTCCTTTATTTATAATAAATATTAAAGTGATGGGCTTATTGGTGAAAGAGATATGTTCCCTAAACCTAGAATAATAAACATGTTTGGTTGGGGACCTTATCACAAAAACCCATATATATATATATATATATATATATATATATATTAATACTATATAAGAATGTAACTCTCCACCAGCTTTACCTCAATTTATTTTTTCTTTTTTTTTGGGCACCTATAGTAATAAAACGACGTCGTTTTGGGTATTTTACGCCCAAAAGCAACTGGCCCAATTTTCCTTTTCCACTTTCTTAAATTGTGGACGGTACTCAGTAGTGGGGGCCCATGGTCGGTTTCTGACGTCACAAGACGTCTGCACCAATTTTTTATTTTATTTTCTCTCTCCACTCCTCTTGTTTGGCCCAAACCCTTTTTTTTATCTTTTTTTTTTCGTTTTCTCGGCACCCAACTCCTCCCACCTGCTCTCTCTCCGACGAAGCCGCGACCCCTCTCTGTTAAATCCTCCACACCACCCCCGCCGACCGTCGACCAGGGGAGGCGATCGAAAAGAGCTCGCCGCTTCAGGCGGGGACGGGCATAGTCAGTGGGATTCTGCCCGCCGTTCCTCCCCTGGGCCGTGGTCTGTGCGTGACGCTAGACCATCCAACACTCACCAAATTTTCTCTTGTTTTTGTTTGTAATTCCTCTTGATTAGAATCTGTCATTTGTGGGATTTTATTTTTTCCGCTTTTGTGCGTTGCATATTCCCGTCCATTACCTGCGATTGGATCGGTAATAGGGGTTTAATTGTGCTGCTGCATTTTCGATGATGACTAAACATATGATTGATGATAAATATGAATGTTATTTAAGGTTTTTTACTTATTTATGTTATATTTGATTTGTTTAGCGAAATTTGTGGTTGATCATGAATCTGCATCTATAAACTATTCGTTTGTTTGTTAGAATTTCAGAATCTTAATACATGGAGCTTTGTTGGTATTCGGGAACTGTTATAATATTCGGGGCGTGAATATTGAATAGCTTTGTCGGCCGGGCATATCTTGCTGGATTTTGATTGCTCTATCGTTATTTCATTTAGTTTATGCCGAACTTCATTTGGTTTATGCCAAACACCGATGGATTTGTAATTACAAGCTTGGAAATCGAAGACACGAAGTTGGATCCTAAAGTCTGTTCCTTCAAACTATTCGATTGTCCATCTTGCAATTCAATGCGGGTTTTTTAATACTTAAGCATAAAATCGAGAAAGTATCCATAATGCAACTTTGAAACTGGGCACGCAACGCCGCGCATTGTGCGGTGCAACATTTCTAGTATATATATATATATATATATACCTAAAAAAAACGCTGGCAAAAATAAATTGTTTTTTCTTTCTTTTTAATTTCATCAAAATCATAAATATTCCGATAAGAATCATTGAAATTAATAATTTATGTTTCAATTTCCTATTAATATGCTTCTATTAATAGGGCATAAAAAATGTATAGTTTTTTACATGCATCACATAACAAATGGCTAAAATAACATAATTACAAAAAATGTCACTAGTGGTATTTAAGGTTTGATCTTCTATTTCTTTCTTTTATATATATAAAAGATAAGATTGACCATAAAAGGAGAAGGTTGTCTAGTTTAAATTTGTAATTTATTGCACAATTAGTTTTTATTGGGCTATCAATTTCAAAGATACATGCACACGTGTCTATCTTTGTTACCTTTCAAATTGTTTAACAAGTTGGTATCCAGCTGCAATCATTATTATTATTATTATTATTATTATTATTATTATTTAGCCTGCCAGCTGGAATTAATTATGATATCTCGTTCTTGCATAAAAAAAAACCAATCAGGACAATAAAAATAGAAAGGTATGTAGGCAGAAACAAAAAACCGTTGGTCCAAATCGATTTTTTGTTTTGCTTTTATATATATTAATAAATATTAATATATTAAGGAAGCATTAAAATACTTGTTTACAACGTGCAAATGCAGCTCAAAATTATTAGTCAAGTTGGAAGTAAATGCCAATCTCAATTCCAAGCACAAAATCCAACTGTTTCCCACGTGGTTGATGGTAACACATGCTTCCCTCCTTAAATTCACACGTGACAGATCCTTACAAATCTTTTGGTCCCCACGACAATCTATTTATACAAAATTACGAGAAACCCCCTTGCGTGAGACATAATTACAAATCCCATGAGATATGTTGTTGTGTACGCAAGTAATTTTAATGGAATCTTTTTTATTCCACGGACTATTCCTCCGATACTATTATTTACTGACCGTGTTACCCTTAGAGGTCACCGTAAGCATATTATTTACTGAGGATGTAATTGTAATATATTTAAAGAAACTCTATAATTACAAAATTTGATAACAAAGTCGTTTTTAATTCTATAAATATTATGTATTATTCATTTTATAATTATTAAAAATAACATAAAAATACATAAAAAAAAAAAAATTAAACATGCTTACAATTTGTTTTCAGTGGTTGAACTGTGATTTTATTTGTGGTAAATTATGAAAACTTCCTGAACTTAGGCTAAATAGCGAAAAACACTTCCATCTATCCGTAATAATCAAAATCTCCATCTGATTAGTTGTTGATCAAGTTTTTTTAACATAAAATTTTGTATAGTCTATTATATCTTCTGTTAAAGAGGTGAGAAATACATATAATATCTAAAATTGTGTAAGTCTAATGTCTAGCTAGAATCAAAACAAATCCGTGAAAAATCATATTGTAAGGGGTTGGTGTAAGACGGAAACAAACGTCGGGGGATTTTTGATAATTACGAATAGATGAAGGTGGTTTTTGTAATTTAATCTAAGTTTAGGGGTTCGTAATGTGCCCTTTTATTTTACGTATGGGGCAGATATAAACTAAATAATTTCTAGAAGACCCTACAATAATACTATGTTATTCAAAAAGTAGCGAATTCGAGTATATATTTTTCTTGTTCTTTTTATAATAATATCATATTATTCGCATCGTCGTTGTTTGCTTCCATAATTTTCCATCGACTATATCAGTTTAAGCCATTGTAACTTTTAATTTACGATTGTTTTTATAAAATAAAATTGTTACCACTTGAAAATCTACGACGAGCGAACCCCGCTAAAAATCTTGAGAAAAAATAATGCAAATTAATTAGAAATTCAAATCATTGTATAAGTCCTAGTTCAAAGTTATTGGAAAAATACTTATTTTTTAAAATTTGAAAAAAAAAAGATAGAAAAAAAAAACACGAATAAAATGTTATATCGTTGTCTACACGATCTCCCAAAAAAAGAGAGAGATAACAGATCACAACACGGGCTCCATAAACTAGTGCCCACTCTTTCTATTATTGACAATTTCTTTTAAATTATTATTTACTATTATTATTATTATTATTATTATCATTATTATCATATATATATATATATATATATATATATATATATAAGTCCTAGTT